CTCAACCAACTTCCTCTTGACTGCTTTTCTGTTTTGTTTCTTTGTTTCTTTTTGGTTTTGGTTTGTTTGTCTACCCTCCCTCCCAAATTCAAAGCGTCTTTGGGTTCAAGAAAAGCGCTATAGAAATATCATTTATTATTATTATTACTTATGCATCTAAGGGTTAAGCTAATCGGCTGCTAGTTGTGGCTTCATTTTAGTTTTAAAGGAGAAAATGTCTTAATAATCACGACACTCTTAAGTCTTTAAACCTGTCAGGCAGCACTTCAGACTAAATGTTAAGGTTTAGCATGTATTAACACTTTTGTAATGCAACATATTGTGCAAATGTATTGTTCTTTAAGCCTGGAGAGTACGTACAAAGTCGACCATGACGAAGTCGTCCTGCTGCCCCGATCCCTCCGAGCCCTGAGAGTGGAGGCTGGCCTGCAGAGGGGAGGGGCAGGGGGGCGAGTCCGGAGGCTGCACCTGCACAGACACACACACAGAAAGTCCTTACTGTAGAAAACTTGAAACACCTTGATTTGGCTGTATCTGCGAAACATTTTGATATATAATAATAATAATAATAATACAATAATCCTTATATTTATTATAGCGCTTTATCAATGACTCTCAAAGCGCTTTACAAATACACATTACACATACATGTAATGGTCATCTACTGCAGAGGTTCCCAAAGTGGGGGGCACGAGATGATTACAAAATAAAAATGGAAACATTTAAAAAAAAAAATTATAAAAAAAAATTGATAATTTTTTTTAATAATTATTATTTTTTATTTATTATTAATAATAACGTTTGCATAAAGACATTTTCAGGGGCGGACTAGCCATCTGTATAATTTCCCCGCAACGAGGCTCTGTTTCTCAAACTTTACAAACAGCTGGCTGAAAAGTTTGGGAACCCCTGATCTACTGTATGGTGTCATAATATCCATTTAAACACAAATCAAATGATCATACTGCCTGATATAAAGACACATTTGGGACATCATCTTTGTTTTGATAGTTACCATGGGATCATTCTCCTCTAAGTCCAGGCCCCGAGGAGCAAATGCAGCAAAGGGCAGGTCCAGACTGGCTGCTGTTAACTACACACACACACACGGAACTTAATTACGTGTACTGCTGCATTTTCATCACTAGGAGAGTTATCCTCTTGAGCAGGATGGAGTGCGTGACAAAACATCTACGTTCATATGTTTTTAAATCAGAGTGATCAGTTTGGGATTTACCTGTGTGTTGGGTTTATTGACAAAGGCTCCAATTTTCCTGGTGAAGGCGTTGAGCGACTCCACGGGGTCAGAGGGAGAGACGCTCCTCCGCCCTTCATCCCTCCTTCTTTCTCCACTGTGCGTCAGGCCATCGTCATCACCACTTTGAAGAGAGATGTTACCGTTTAGACATTTCAGATTTAAGGAGATCTATGTGACGCACATTGAGTCCCTCTTCTTTCCCACCGTTCACAATATCTCTTGCTAAAAAGCCAATATTCAACATATGGCTCTACATACCAACAGATAACATCTAGTTATTTCCTTAAGACGGTTACATCTGTGCAGATGCTGAGCTGAAGTTAAGTTAGTAAATCAAATATGTTTTGAATTACCTGCCACCAGGAGTGTTGGCAGCTTGTTCTACCGTGAGATGAGCATCAGCTCCATGAAGAGGTTGAGCAGGAGCCAATACCACTCCTCCGTGCTCCTTCCCAGCATGCAACGCCTGAAGAGGAAGAACAAAGCAGAGTTATAGCGGATTCAATACAAATATGTATTTTAAAACTTAATTTTTCAGATGGGAAATGTAGGCATCCCGGACATACAAGACTCATATAGCTATAAGTATGTATCAATAAATGTGTATGTGATGCTTCACCTGGCTTGCAGCAGGGGGACACAGCTCAGCAGCTCCAGCTGGAGGGTGATATGAAAACCTGGAAGCATACAGCTACAAAGACAGGAAGAAGAAGAGGGATCATTCATCACAAAACACTGCAGCGTAACATTGAAGACACACTGTTGGATGACGGGGTTTAAACTGTGGTACATAATTACTAAAACATCACAATGAAACAGGAGATAAGTGCTTAAAGTGATGGAGCCTCACACAGTCAAAGCCAATAATGATGCAACACACACATCAAAACACATGACAAAATGTGAGTGATCAGCAGTTTTTAGTGCAGTTTAAAAGGTGCATCACACACTTCCACAGTGGCCGTATAGACTCACAGTGTGAGTGACAAGTCCAGGAGCCAATGGAAGCGGCAGACTGTCCAGGGGGAGGGGCTTATACAGTTTACAGGGCGAGGGACTCAGTGTACACACACACTGACCAAACGCAGACACAAACACACAGATAAACATACAATTAAAAAAAACAGGAAAAAGAAAACGGACAAAGAGAGAAAAAGAGAAGGTGAAATAAAAATCAGTTGTGAAAATGGAGAGCAGAAGTCACAGTGTAAAGAAAGAGATGTTAACGAGGATTAAAGGAGTGAGTCGTGTTACCTGTGAGGGAGGGGAGGTGGAGAAGGAGGTGGTGCAGACCTCCTGGGAATCCTGAACTCCTACATATCCTCCGTCCTCATCGTCTAGAGCTCTGAACACACACACCACACACACACATTATAATATAGATGATTTCAGTTCTTCACATCCTACTGGGGGCAGACAAGTAAAAAAACACAGAATTGAATTGACCTTATTTTGTCCTTGAAGCAGGAACATGTCATAGTTTCTTTATTCTGTGGATGCAAAAGATGTTTTGTAGCTACCTGTAGTTGCAGGGATGTCCCATGTTTGCATTACGGTGGCCGATGCCAGGTGGATCCACAAAGTGATCCACGATGATCCCCACGATGGGAGCAGACCTCTCAAACTGTCTGCAGAAAACCACAGTTCAACCGTTTACTAGTGGTGCGAGTAGTGAAGCACTAAAGCAAAAACCTAACCATCTCTTTATCCACTCAGAAAACATTAATATTAATAAGCTCATCATCATTTTCTTGATAAGAACACTGTGTTGTTTCTCATGCTGGGTGTTAATTACCTGTTGGACATGAATGCCAGGTTGGTGCGGTAAGCGCATGACAGTGTAACCGTGCCAACAGGTGTGCCAACAACACCGACACGCACCGTCTGAAACCCTTAAAAACAAACAACAAACCTCAGTAAAGAAACTTGAATTTGTTTTAAATATAGGTTATAGTAAATGATGCATTGAGAAGGAAAGTAATATCTAAATGTTATTCTACTGATGTTAACTTCTATGTGTTTGTGGATTAATTAAGTGTTTAAGATTCTGATTGGTGTTTTATTGTATGTTTTATTACTTTTAAGAATAATAAACATGTCTAATTAATATTTAATCCTGTCCCATAACACAAATACATTTATTTCTGAACAAATAACTGGAAAATATTTGTCTTTTCAAGTCCATTTGCCCCTTATTCTATAAGTTATAACACACAAGTATATGTGTGTAAAACCTTCCTTTTGTAATGTTTACGGTCAAATAAGTTGACCTTAAGCTATGAGTGTTGTTTTCTGTGATTTACGACATGTCCGTCAGGAAGCAGAGTTTAAGGTTACCTTCTCCTAATCCACTCAGCTGGACTTCCCCGAAGTAAATCCTAGAAATAAGAGAGGCAGAGACAGATGGTGACACATGTCAAACATCAACTCAACGTAACAAGAGACCAAACAAAGCTGCTGCAGTTTACCAGCTGTTAGAGAGCCCACTCACCTGTATAATATCACATAGTCGTGTCCCTGCTTTCTGGACAGTTTGTAGGCGGGTGTTACTCTGGTGATGGCCAGCAGAGACTTCAGAAGGACAGACAGACGGTTGTAGACTGTGTACGACACCTTGATGTCCTTATCACACCTGCAGCAGAAACAATGACTCATTCAAAATCAGCAGTGTGGCGGCATTTCAAATAGATGTCAGCTTAATAATACGATGGAGCCATCAGTGTGTCTAACAGTCTTTGGGAATCTGTTTTGGAGCAGCTTCATTTATCTCAAGCAGTAACAAAGTGGAACAGCAGTTTTTAAACAACAGCAGCACTTCAGACTACAAAATGTCACGAGCAGAGACAAAGTAAGCCCTTTATAACTTAAAGCATCTGACAAACGCTCCGATTGAATTTTCTCCATTGTTCCTTTGATCACAAAGCAGGCTATTTTCACAGTGTTGCTCATGATGAAAGGATCATTACATCACAGCACAGAGGTTTATTAGCTCAGACACTGAACTGCTCATCAAAGCTATTCATGTGCATAATATACAACACACAGAAACTCTGCAGCACTTAATATATATTAAAAACATGCTAAATGTACTCACTTCTCATTCATCTCCAGACACCATGTCTCCAACTCCATTGAGTCCCCCTGAGTGAGTAAGACAGAAAGATTTGTGAATAGGAAATGTAAATAAGGTTAAGATAATTGTGTGTTTACTATTCCAAAAGTAAGAGGAATGTCAAACCTCTGACGTCTTCAGGGAGATCTCGACGCACATGGAGCGCCCGATGCCTGGGAGTTGTCCAGCCAGCGCCTTTTTAGCTTCATGAGTCACCTCTGGGATGTCTTTGATGGCCAAATTAAACTAGAAGAAGTAATAATAACAACAAAAATTACTTAAATGTACACTATAGAAGAAGATCAACCATCCAAGCCAGATACATTTATGAGAAAATCTACACTAAACTGTACAATTTCGATGGTGAATGGTCAAATATTTTACCCAATCAGAGCCAGTAGGCGATGAGGACGAGCGAGTGCATATCTTCTCTCCAAGCCGCGCTTGGACAATCACCTGGACAGTCTACAAAGAGGACATGAGAAAACCATTACTAGTCAGTAGGAAATACAGATATATCAGTAACAACAAGTATCTCAAAACCTGTGCAAATAAAAGTGTCTCCAAGTAAAGAGTGTGGGAATCAAAGCTTCTGCTAACAGAATGAGCCCCGGGCGTTTAGACATCTACAATCAAAGAGGCTGCATTACTTTCCTATGTCGGAAACAACAACCTCATATAGGCGTGTTACCTTTAAGGCAAAGAACTTAATGAACTTGTCCAAGTCTTTTTTATCCTGGGGACTCAGGCCACTCTCCATGTTGTCACGACCCTGGGATCAATCAAGAAAATATTATCTACTGTATAGCACCGTGCTACACAGTAAAGCAATCATACTAGTACACAACACAGCATGTCAAATATACAATTAATACATTTGTGAGCAAAGACAAATGTTGCCACTTACTGCAGCCATAATTATAATGAATTGTAATTGTCAAATACAAATAATTGCCAAGAAAAGTGAATTCATGTCTTGTAAAATGTGTGAATACATGAATCGTCAGTTAATAGAAAGATTTGGATCAAAACAAGCCTTTTTTTCAACCAATCAATTAGTAACTGAAAGCAATGCATAATACCTAATATATAATATAATTCTGCTTGAAGTAGTTCTAAAGGAAAATACTGTTTATCACAATTATTTTAACCCTATTTAAGCATCTGTTTCTGTACAAGTTAGCAAGTAAGGCCTCCTCATTGACATTAAATTATCCGGATAGTATTTGGAGGTCATGTTAAACGACACAATATACTGACAACCAGCTTTTTACAGTGCAAAACAGCACGTTATTTTCTTCTTTTTTCGTGTAAAAAATAAATGTAACTGATATTTACTAACCGTTGACGTTGCAGCTAATGCTAAGCTAGCTAGCTGAATAACACGCACTTAAAATGTATCACAAAACAACAACACTTACATTAGCTTTTCCCCTGGGAACGTAGCTTCAATAAAATATAACTTAATTCAATATAAATGGCATAAAACGCTGTGTTTTATGAACATTTAAAAGCCTATTTCAGAGGTAAACAAGGACGGAGCTACTTCTCTGTTTATCTTCTCCATGTCGACGTGTTTGTATGGCACATCGTTCACTGCGGCACTTTCGTTGATTTGAAAAAAAATGTAAAAAATGTTAAATACACAATTCGTTTTGTTTGCCTTTTTATTCATAGTGTGTTTTTTTTATATTGGTACTATATTGTTTTAGTCCTTGGTAAAAAAACCTCAGCCTTTTAATAATGATAATCTGCAAATGAACTACAAAATGCATCTTCCTGTGTCGAATGTGCGCCTGTGCGTCAAACGATACGTGTTCCTGTGGCTTGTTTTGGTTGACAAAAGCTGCATAACTTCTTCAAATGTAAGAGCCTTTTTCTTTACCATGTACCATAATTGCAAAATGCTTTAACTTCCATTCAAAGATATCCAGCTGTGTGTGTAAATAGCCATGCATGTATTCAGAGAAACGCAATACTGAACGTAGGAAAGCTCAAATGCTAGTGTGGTAGCTACATAGTTAGCATGTAGTATTCAGATATACAGTAATAGCAAACAAACAAGGAGCTTTAAAACTCGAGGACATGCCGAAAAGTTAGCCATTTTGTTGAATTGGCAGTGTGATAAGATACAAATAAGTGACACAGCAAGAATCTTCAAATTGCATTATTATAAATCCGGTTTATTGCTAGGTAGGTTTTCATATACAAGAACATTGCAGTGGTGTATTGGTGCATAAACAAAAAACATAACGATAATACAAAAAAATACATACTATTTAGAAATGTGTACAATGTGTGGATACAGCATCAACAACAATTCATACAATATCTTGTTCTGTGCATGTTAACTGTATTGAAATGTACAACTATACCTTGATTGATAAATGTATTATTGCCCACAGCATGGCGATCCCTATAGCCATCTTGGACTGTGACCTGCTGTTACACGGTCGAGGACACAAGACCCTAGACCGCTTTGACCTGGACTCTGTGCCAGACCACTTGCTCCTCACACAGTTTGGCTTCCCCAGAGAGTTTATACTGTATCTGGTGGAAATACTCCGGGAGGTAAGTAGATGATGAGCCTGAATTTCAATTATCTCATCCAATTAATTATACGTTTTAATGTGTGTGGATGTTAGGCTCTGTGCAGACGTACTCAGCGGTCCAGAGCCATCAGTCCTGAGGTCCAGGTGCTTGCTGCTTTGGGGTTCTACACGTCCGGATCCTTCCAGACATCGATGGGAGATACAATAGGGATCAGCCAGGCGTCAATGTCGAGATGTGTGTCTAACGTGACCAGAGCCCTGGTGGAGAAAGCTCCAACGTTCATCACATTAAACAGGTGTGGGACCATGATGATGAGTTACATATCACTGGGATTATCAACATGCAGCCTAAAATACAGACAAAAGAAAAAGTAAATATTAAGAAGAGGATAAAGACTGACAGCAACTATTAATGTTTCCCACACAGAGACCCCTCCAGCACAGAGCAGTCCTTCCATGAGTTTCAGAGGGTGGCAGGATTCCCAGGAGTCCTAGGGGTGCTGGACTGTGTTCAGGTGTACTATAATATACTGCATTAACACTTTAAAACTCTTTATACAAAGTTTACAGCCTAAACTGATCACCTCTTCCCCTCCAGGTCACCATCAAAGCTCCTAACAGCGAAGACTCGTCCTACGTGAACAAGAAGGGGTTTCACTCGGTGGGCTGCCAGCTGGTTTGTGATGCCAGAGGATTGTTACTCAGCGCCGAAACACACTGGCCGGGAGGACTCAGAGACACAGAGGTTCTAGAAAGATCTGCTCTCCAGAAACACCTGCAGGACGCTGAGGAGGGCTGGCTGCTGGGTGAGACTCGGATTTCACTCTTCTTTGCACACAGTCTGAAAAAAGGTCCAGGACTAACGTTATTTTCTGATTTCTGCTTCCTAGGTGACCGTCGTTACCCTCTGAGGAAGTGGTTGATGACCCCGATGGACTGCCCTGAATCCCCAGAAGAGTTACAGTATAATCTGGCCCACACGGCCACTCATGAGATCGTGGACAGAACCTTCAGAGCCATCCAGACCAGATTCAGATGTTTGGACGGCACCAAAGGATACCTACAGGTACGCAGGTCTCCAGATTGATTTCAGACCAGGGTGTAATACTTTTGTGATGTGGGCTTGTCTCTTCATTCAAAATCTTAGCAAACTTATTTTATCTTGTCTTTCATCTGCACCGTCCCCTTTGCTGCTGTAAACCATTTCCTGAATTACTTTTGTCTATCCTTCTGTGTGCATTTATTAATTGAGATCTGACCCCATGAACCTTTCCCTGTCAAAGCAATATTTGAGTCATACATGCTTTTGTGGCTGAATGGTATTCTTTCTTTTGCATCTTGTCTAAAAAACCTGCAGTATTCTCCGGAGAGGAGTTCGTCCATCCTGCTGGCCTGCTGTGTTCTCCACAACGCCTCGCTGCAGTCGGGGTTAGACGCCTGGACTCTGGAGCGGACCGACCCTCTAGAGCAGCCCGAGACTCTCGAGCAGAGACCTGAGGATCGAGACAGCCTGGCAGAGGAGCTCCGGAAAGACCTCATCCTCAAACACTTCAGCTAAACTCAAAACAGATCAGGACTGGGAGCAGAGCAAATCATCATTTTCTGTTCACAAACGACACATTTCAAGCAAGAAAGGCCACAGACACAGTGTTGCTGATGCAGGTTTTTTATATTTTGCTGGTTTCTACTCTACTGACTACACTAAGATAACATAGAAGTATATGGAGGAACATGCAGGACGCTATACAACAAACTGAGACAACATGGTACCCGAACACATTTGAAATAACTGGAAGTGCTTCATTATTCTCTCAGAATGTGGAATAATGAAACACTTCCTGGTGATTAACAACTATTAAAACTGTGACCAGCTGCTGTGTTATCAACGTTTCTTTACAGGTGGAAAAATTCACCCTCCCTTTATGTTTTATTCCCTCCCCGCTTTACATTTTGATTCCCCAAATATCCAATTTTCTCACGTGATTCCACAGGTTTCAATCTTGGACTATGTCACAATACAAAAAAAACAAGGCCCTTAACAAGGTTATTTACAACAACTGCACATTAGGTGGTCAGTATTTATGTACACTGGTGCATTAAGACGGTATTGGGTGAGAATGACAGGATGTTTGTGTAACGGGCTGCAGTCACATGATGTTTTTGTGTACACACACACAAAATGAAATACAAACAGAGATGAATAAGAAACATTTGTAGTGTTTTGGAGATAAAAAATAGAAGTTCTGAGCATTACATCATTGTAGTAATGAATTAAAGGAAGTGGATGGGGGCAGTGTAAAGCTTTTAGTTTTTGAAGGAGTACCATTAAATGTTTAGTTTTTTCTTTCATTGTCAGAAAAAGTGATTGTTGTAATTGTCCCAATGGTTCCTTCAAAAGTTGGCGATAACAAAGCTAGTGGTTTGTTTTACTTCCTGTATGAGTCCCCTGATTGGCTTCATCAATATATACACACTTTCTACAAACAGGAATAAATACAACACACACTGCTGTCGCATGAGCACATTTAGCATCTACGGTGAAATGAATTTATGACAAAAAATATGATAATTGCAGATGTTCTAATTATTTAAGATGGTGCTTTTTTATTTGGGATGAATTTCTTCTGCTTTTTAGGTTAAGAAACTTCACCTTATGGCTAAAAAAATAGATTTTAAAAATACATTTTACAAGCTAGTGGCATTTCTATATCACACAGGAACCAAATGGACCTTTCATGCGACAGCAGGAAACATAAACACTGTATTACAGTTGAAAGACAAAAGCAGATCATGTCAAAGTTTACACGGCACACCGTCATGTAACACTTCATCATCCTAAATGCAAAAACACAACATAAAATTCCCTTTTTTTTTTCTTGCATAAAATAAATATGCTCTTTTTTGATGCTCGGAATATATTATAAGTTGTATTTGAGTGTTTTTTTTGTAAACATTTTCTAGAAAAAACAATAGAATAACAAACTTAAAAACACGTTCAGTATTTGTTTTTTTGCTGCATAAATTAAATATGCATTTTTTTCGATGCTGCAAATATATTACATATACAATTTAATTCCATAAAAATACTTTTATGTAATTGTTCCCCAACCTCTCGTAGGACCCCCTTTAACAGTCCTTTGATAGTAACATACAAAAAAATATGCAGAATGTGGACTTTAACCTCAGAGATGGATTTAAAAAGTGGAAAAATAAAACCAAATATGTCTTTTGCTTTAACTCTTGAACACTTAAGGCTAGCTTTTGAAATCAAATGTTTCCCCCAGATACAGAGTGTTCGTTGTTTACAGGTTTATAGCTGCGTGCTTTAGGTGTAAGGCCAAGTTCGTCATATTAGACTTAAGTAAGTGGAAGGCACTTTTAAAACGGCACAGCTTCCTTTTCCTTATCTAGTTTTAAAGTTTAGTTTACGTATACTGTTATTAACGTAGAGCTGAAACAGAATCCATTATTCTCTAATATGAGGATCTATCCTAACTTGAATCGATAATCACATTAGGGCCGTTTCTCAATGTCGAGTACACATGCTGCAGAGCCACTATTTCAAGTATACTACGTCATAGAGTGGCGCAGAATGCTGGGCATTTAACATGCATTTAAACAGTCCTTCGGCACCACTCTATGACGTAGCATACTTGAAATAGTGGCCCTGCAGCATGTGTACTCGACATTGAGAAACGGCCTAGGTGTTAGCTGCAGCCCTTTAGCAACATATATGACTGGTTAAAAATTAGAGCACTGACCCGATTTAGTGCCTTTGAAAAGTAAAATATACACTCCCAAATTGGAGGTCTGTCAAGCATCCGTATGCATTTATGTTCATGAGTTCTGAAAGGTGCAAACATCTGTTTCTCTTGATACTAAGACCGCATTTCCTTTTTCATTCCTAAAGGATGTTGGCAACGCTACACTACATTTGTTTTTATGAGGAAGTGAAATAGCTTTTTGTTAAAATGCTACACATTGTATCTGTAAATGATTGTATATAGATTCTATAATTGAGCCCCTGGTTGTTGTTTAAACTAAATATGACAAGATTAGTTGGATTTTTAAAATGATTGAGTGCATAAAAATAGAAATTCCAATCCCTTTCAAATCAAGTATATTCAGGTGTAGCAGAGTCTGTTTGAGAAGTGAAGCACCTCGTGGTGACGGCAGTGTGTCGGCTGTGGAGGACGGAGGAAGTCTGGATGCCTGCTGAGTTCAGGGGTTTCAGGAGTCTGGAGATTTGTGGCTTTGGGGGTCAGAGGTTAGATGTCGTGGGAGGAGGGGTCAGATAAACTCTGGTTTTGTTTCTCTGAGGAGAAGAGAGGAACCAAGTTAACATTCAGAGGACAGTAAGGCAAGTGTATTTGTTAGAAAGATATCACTCGGCACCGGCTTGAGCTTCAATATACATGTATTTCTGATCCTCTCCAGAATGGAAGTCACACACAGAGCATCAACTAGTTCCTGAACAGTGTCCTTCACATGCTGATATCCAAGAGAGGGAGTTACACAGTCACATAGAAAGGAATAGAGGAATAGAAAGCAGTATTCAATGTTTACTTCAGATTAGCCATGTATTGATTATCCTCTCAAGAATGGAAGTAGTCAAAACAAAAAAATAAGAATTTGTTGGTATTTTTCTCAAAAATTCGGACTTTCTCGAAATCTAAAAACTTGGACATTTTCATCAAAATTCTAACTTTTTCATCAAAATTCTGATTTTTTTCTCAAAAATCTCACAATTCTGACTGTTTCTAAAATTTCTGAATTTTTCACAAAATTCTGACTTATTCACCAAATTCTCAAAAATCTGAATTTTTCTCAAAAATCTAAAAATGTTGACTTTTTCACAAAATCTAAACACTCTGACTTTTTTCTCAAAATTCCGACTTTTTTCTCAAAAAATCTCGAAATTCACCGCACCCCTACCTATCCTCCACCCGAAAGACTACTCGCCGTCCGTCGCCCCTTCCCCACGACCGACCCACGGTCGTCAGACACCCCATGGCCCATCACACATTTGTATAGTAAAATTGACCACAATCGACAGGAGTTCCTCCAGATATCGATTCGCCGATACTTTCTTAACGTACCATTTTGGTTGTAATAACAGACACTTTTATGAAAGGAAAGGACAAGGAAATATCACCTACATCAAAGAGAGAGGAGTGCAAGAGGAGATGTCGGGCGCGTCTCGAAGTCAGAGGCAAAGTCCCTTTCAGGAGGGAGCGAGAACATTTTTAACGGTGATTGGTTTGCCCTGTACGGGGAGTACCATTCAATGAATAGCTGCGGTCACAAAGAGTAGTAAAATTACTGCCACAAAAAACATAACTACAGGAAACAACAACAGTCGATAGACCACGTCATACCACCGGCACCCAAAACCGGACCCACGAAACCGGGAGAGGAGGGACGGAAGAGAGGAAGAGAGAGAGTGAGTGTGGAGAAGAAGGGAACAGGAGTAGGCAGGAGAACCGCAGAGTAGGGAGGGAGGAGAGGCGGAAGAGGACAAGTCGCCTGGAGATGTGGATGGTCAGTCCCCATCGCGACGTTTGGATAATCAGTTGTAATGATACATCTATAAGCTGCTTCATGTACACATTAATTCTAATCCAACCACAACCCCGCTTTCGGCACATGTACATTAATAGTTATCCAATTCTAATCGATAAATTTGTGCATGGCTTGAAAACTTTCTTGTAGGCTATGATCCTACAGGGGTTAGTGGAAAAAAACGATGGCTAGGCTAAGGCTAGTAAACGTAAAACGTCGTTTAAAACGGCGTATGGCTCAAAAGCGGCGTAGGCTTAGAATACGGTTACCGTATTACTCTTTTTTTTTCTTTTTTCGTAAGTCAACAGGGAATTCCATCAAAAAAAATAAATTTCCTATAGATATGGTTGTACCTAAACACAATATCGAAGAAAAAAGTGTCTCGTAACCTAGTCGAAGTCACCAACGTCGTAAACCTAGTTTTGTTTTATTCGAAAGTCATAGCAATCCCGAATGACGATGTTAATCTGTGACCGCCAAGGCGAAGACACGGCTCTATAACTTCTTTAATTGTTGGTCCAGATACGTTTTGTTCGGGGTTTCTTCCGTCTTGTGTATGTCTACACACATTAACTGGTATTTTGATTCCGGAGTCCTACTGAAATTCTGAATTGTAACCAGTAGAAAACAAACATTGTAGACCATTATGTTGTAATTTCTTTCATAATATTTTTTTATTTTTCTTTTTTTTCTCTTTAGGGCTAGGGGCTAAAAAAGAGGCGGGGGGGGATAAGGCTCGAAAACTTTTAGTGCGACTAGCCGAGGGCTAGTGCCAACTAGCCTAGCCCTGTAGAATTAGGTACATGTGTAAGTTAGTCAGACGTAGAAAAAAAAACAAAATGTCTTAATAACGAGTCTTATATAGTATAGTAAATGAAGTTATCTGAGAAGAACGGTGAATAACAAGATATACCGGATGCGTGACAACATACCTCGACATGAATGCAAAAAGTAACTGTATAGATGTGACTTCGATTAGGATGATTTCTGTTATTTCGGTAGTAAATCCTTTATTTCAACGGAAGGTTTTACTTTTTTGTCGGTACATTCTTCCCTTCTTTTACTTGCGCAGGGTCTTCAATTAAAGGATAACTATTAAGAAATCCTTCCGATTTGTTTTTTCAAAAAAGGAGTTTTTTTGAAACCCTCTTTAGACTCATAGTTGAAAGTGAGAACAAACGGCGTAAGGTGGAAGGGAGGACTTTACGTGAAGGAATTGGTGAATCGAAGTCCTTTGGGGGAATATATTGGTCTCAATTCAAACAGATAGTACGATTTCATGGTGAGGAAAGACGTCGGTCGGCAGGAGACCCTCCACGTTTTATTTTGAGACGGGAGCGACGCTATTGTAGTCTTCGATTTGGGACTGGGGAGCTCCACGGTTTAGTAATGTGACGATTTTGATGATTCAAGGATTTGACTCTGTACTCTTACTTTAGGTTCCAAACACAACGTCAGGCGAGGGCGTCCGGAGGAGAAGATGCTGCCTGTCCGCCCAGAGTGACCTCCTCGTCGAACATAGAGGATAGTCTTTCGGTCTCTCCGATGTTCAGTCTCGTCGGTGCAGGTCTGGTCGTCTATGTGTCGCCCTCGGGTTTGGCTGCGTGGCGCCGGGTTTTGTCTGTCGTCCATGGGGGTTTTATAAGAGCAACGAAATCGCCAGTTCTTTTGCAGATAATCTCCGAGAAACGTCCAAGAGGTATGTTTATGATAATCCAGACCCGACCGACGGAACGGGGTCTACGGGGAGTCAATTGTGAATAACCTAACGAATCCCAATTTGCCACGAATATTTATACGAACCATTTTATCGGCGACTTTACAGGAGAAGGTGTATAGTCTCAGGTGTACGATTGTTTCCGCATAGGTTGACATGACACTTGTACTGTCCTAACACTAAATGGATCTTTCCTCGGTAGTCCTGGAAAATCCGACACGACTATCGATACACTAATTGTACTACAAGTCGGAGATACCTCTCTCTGTAATACTGTTCGTACTAGTAAAGACTGCACTCGATTAGACTCATTTGTAACTTATGACGAAAGATAAGGAGGTAA